TTCTCTCTCATTTTGTGTGGTAAAATAATAATCATAGTAATAAATAAATTTTCTTCTTTTTATATAATACGGGGAAAAATATTAAGAAAAAAAAAACAAACAAACGAACGAACAAACAAACAAACATACAAACAACTCGAGATCTTGTATCGATTTTTCCTTTCATTTATTTTTCTTTTTACGGGTTGTAAGGAAGGGGAAAAGAGGAGGCGGGGAGGATAAGGTGAAGGACGAGGAGGAGAAGGAGGAGAAGGACGAGGAAGAGAAGGAAGTGAGGGGAGAAGGAGAAGGACGAGGAAGAGAAGGAAGTGAGGGGAGAAGGAGGAGAAGGACGAGGAAGAGAAGGAAGTGAGGGGAGAAAGAGGAGAAGGACGAGGAAGAGAAGGAAGTGAGGGGAGAAGGAGGAGAAGGACGAGGAAGAGAAGGAAGTGAGGGGAGAAGGAGGAGAAGGACGAGGAAGAGAAGGAAGTGAGGGGAGAAGGAGGAGAAGGACGAGGAAGAGAAGGAAGTGAGGGGAGAAGGAGGAGAAGGACGAGGAAGAGAAGGAAGTGAGGGGAGAAGGAGGAGAAGGACGAGGAGAAGGAGGAGAAGAAGAAGGACGAGGAGAGGAAGAACGAGGCGGGGGAGGAGAGGAGGAGCTCTCGAGCAATTAAAAAAAGTTTTTAAACAATAATGTTTAAACGGACATTTTTAATTGATTAATTTTTTGCGTAAAACGAATTGGTATTCGTCGATAAAGTGTATTGATTCGTCATGGCTCTTAAAAATAATTTCTTTCTCAAATTGGCCGCTTCCCGTTGGATTTCTTCGTTGTTGTTACTGTTGAGCTCGAGCAAACCGATTAATTTAACCTGAAAAAGAGAGAGAGAGAGAGACATAAATAAAAAAAGAGAGAGAGAGAGAGAGACGACAATAAGAAATCATTATTATTTCTTTGCCCCATCAGGTCAAATCGACGACCTTGTTTCCTTTCAAAGGTTCCCTCATCCCCCCACTCATTCGCTCACTTACCACTTG